GGGGCCTTTCCGGGGCCGCCGGGGCCCAGCCGCTTCCCGCGGCAGGGGCCTTTGCGTCCCCTCGGCAGCAGGGGGACTTGCCGCGCCAAGCCGAGGCATGCCGCAGGGGACGCGGCAGAGAGCGCTGCTGAATGCTGTGTGCTGATGTTGGCAAACAACTCCGGGCTTGCTTTCTTCTCTGCCTGGCCCGGAGCTGCCATGCATAGCCTGCGCAAGAGATGAGCTTTGTGTATCTCTAAAATCGGCGACCAGGGTTTTTCAGTGAAGTGTTACTGATTGCTGTTAGGGGTCTCCTGGTTCCTCATGCCGAAAGCTTTGAAAAGCAAAGAAGCCACCTTTCTTCAAAATATCGTATTACTTGGAATGAGCAGGAATAACACAAAGAACAGTTTTTTAGTGTTGGACCTTTGTGTGTGTGAACCAAGGAAGTCAGGCTGGTTTTCTGCATTTTTTTTTTAATTTAGCCAAGATAAGTGTTACCTGTAGCTTCCTCTTCCACAAAGTCTGCTTGCTCCTCATGATAAGGTCACTGCTACCTGACCTGTTAGGTAACATTGCTGTATTCTTACTGTGCTTGTGAAGAATGATGTCCTTCATGGTCCCCTGAATGCAGTTTTCTTAATCCTTAAGTTTAGTAGTTTAACAAACTTGAAACTGTTTTAAGTTTTCCAACTACCTGTATTCATAGGAACATAGTACCTTTCACAACACTTTCCAGGATACTTACTGATTATTCAGAGTAATAAATAAATGTATATGTACGTATGACTAAAATGAAATGCTAGGAATTTAAACACTGATGACAATTTAAGTTTTTGTATCTCTATCCAACCTATGCCTCTTCTAGAGAAAAGAGTTAATTGTTTGTTAAAGGCCAGGTCATATTGCATGTGGAGACTGTAACCATGGTTTATGGAAATAAATTTCTATTTTTCAGGAAAAATTAGATATGTCGACGTATCCTGTTGAAAGCATTAGAAACTTCAGTATTATAGCTCACGTAGATCATGGCAAAAGTACTCTAGCAGACAGATTGTTGGAAATTACTGGTAAGTGTTCTCATTTTATACTACCTTTTCTTGACATGTAAGATGACATGTAAGTTTCTGTATCTTTGGTTATTACTAAAATTTCTAATATCTTTGCTCTTCTAGTGTCAAGTTACTTGTGCTTTTAGGCTACTAGTTGTGTAGTGTTACAGATGTGAATATGATGGACTTTCTGGTTGAGATCTGCTTACAAGTAGGGATAAGGAAGTGTGCAATTCACTCAAGGAAGTATGTCTTTTAGAAGAGACTGAAAAGGAGTGTACTTTCTTGAACAAGATGCTACTCCTGTCATTCCTGACCAATTGTCCATTAGACCAGTACACAGCAAGCTTATGATGTTTACTGCCAGTGTCTGGGGTGGACAGAAGGGGACTGTCGTGACCTAGGAATTTTGGACAGAGTAGTGTTATTGATGTGTTATTGAAACAGAGAGGAACTTCAGCTGCTTGTACTTAGATGAAAGTAATGATATGTCCTCTTGTGAGCAAACTATAAACAACTGCCTTTCATGGTGGTGAAGCTCACTAGCGAAGCCGATATTATTCACTGGTGAAGCCGATATGATTCTGCGTAGTAAGTTTTAGAAATGTACAGCCCTGTGTTGACTTAGATTTAGTGTGTAGAATAACTGCTAGTAATTAAGTGTAAATTCCATAGATTCTCAGCTGCTATATAGACTTGCTTTTTCCTTCACTCTAAGTATTGATGTTGTTGTGGTACTTTCATCTTCAGAGGTTTTTATTTTGTCCTCATCAGAGTGCTTCTTGGACTTAAGTGTTTTTATTTTTGTGTTGTTGAGGGTAAGGAAAACTACCCCCCTTTAAAGTGGAAGTGAGAAACAGAAGCGCTAAGGGATCTTCATAACTATAAGTGACTCTGAAACTAGGCTTTCCTTGGAAGAGAGAGACAGAGGTTGTCTTAGCGGGTTCTCTAAGATAAGCTGTAAAGCAATTGCTATATCTCCCAAGAGGAGACTAACTTCAGAGCAGAGCTTAAATTAGCTACTCAGAAATACCCTTTGGAAGAGTCTTTCTTTTCTCATTTAAGGGGTGAGCAAAACAAAACATGGGAGAGAAGCTTTTGGTCAAAGTCACTCTTTATTATTACCTCCTATGAGTCACTATGGGCAATTTTACCTGATGCCTGTGATAGAATGGAGTTTTGAATTCAGGGCTGTCAAGCTTTATGATAATGCTCTTTTTGCAATTGAGATTGGCACTGGTCGGAGCCATGGGCCATGGAACTGCTCTCCAGTGATAGGAGGTGAAGTTTCTTTAAACGTAAAAATAATTTAGCACTGAGTGGAATTTTTGCTACGTCTTAATCTCTAATTTAGATTTACGTGATGCTTTGTATCCTGCTTATTCAGGGAAGTATTTTGTATAACTTCATACGTAAAAATTTATTTAACAAATGTTAAGAGTTGAAGCATACATTTATTTCCAAATGAAAATCTAAGTTTAGCTTAATCAGATGGAAAAGCTTCATTTGCAGCTGCAAGTCCCATGTTCTCCTGGTTAATGGCATTTTCAATAATTATTTATTTTGACAGCTAATGTATTAAATGAGGTAATAAAACTTTTTTTAATCTTAGGAACAATTGCTAAAACTGGCCGTAACAAACAAGTGCTGGATAAACTGCAAGTGGAACGCGAGAGAGGAATTACAGTTAAAGCACAATCTGCATCTCTCTTTTACAGTCATGGAGGAGTAAACTACCTGTTAAATCTTATTGACACGCCAGTAAGTTAAGTATAAATAGTGTTTAAATCACACAAAGCTAAATGTGTTTATATTTAAAAGTAGGAGATTTCTAGCTTCTTGTGTTTATTCACTTTCTTTTTTTTGTAAGAATTGTGTTTTGGATGAACATATATACAAATGAAAACATCATAATATAGCAATCTTTGCAAAGGACTGTAGAAATACCTGAAATTGTAAACATTTATTTTCTCCACAGGGCCACGTAGATTTCAGCTATGAAGTGTCTCGGTCACTGTCTGCCTGTCAAGGTGTCATACTTGTAGTGGATGCAAATGAGGTGGAGTTCTTAATTCTTGTTTTCTGCTTAGAATTTCAGCAATTTCTTTAAGCTAGAGAGAAGATTAGGGCTTTTTTAATTTTTCCATCAATGTGTTTGCCCCTGGTCTGTCTCCGTAAAAGTATTACATTGCAGAAGACGACTAGTACAAGTTTTTAAAAAAAAAATCTGGAGACAAATACTTGTGTGTTGCTAGATACTGCAGTTCCATGACATAGAAATAAAAGCACAGGATTAGTGAAGAATCAGATCCTACTTTGTACAGAGTATGAACTTTGCAAATGGCAGTCTGGAGAACTTTTAGGTGTTGTACTAATACTCATTTGAATACCTTCAGTTTATTGTTGGAAAGCTTAATCATTCGTTCAACCAACCACGCTGTTAGTTGCAACTAATTGCTGTCGTGTTTTTGATTGTCAATAATACAAACCAATACTGGCAACATGAAAGCTAAAGGACACTATAGGCTGCATGTGAATAAACTTATTCTGAAAACTTGAGAAGTTTTATATCCACTAGATTAATATGTTCTTGACTGATCTTTCAGGAGAAGCAGGAGAGTGAGTAAAGTGTTTGTAAGGTGATATGCTCATAAATTTACAGACAAAGTCAATGCTAGGAGGGAAGTGAAATTAGGGATCTTAGTTGTACTTTTATTCGTACAATGCTAGGAACACTTTGAAGAATTAGTTAACAGGCTAGAATATGAGGATTATGGGAATGTGATTTTAGATATGGACACATTCTCATGAAGAATTTTGATGATAATTTTCTCTGTGGTGTATTTATGATTGGATTGTACAGGGGTCAAATGAATGCTACCGTTTTTGCTTTCAATGATTATGAACACTTGTTCCTTCCTAGATTGGTGGCCAAGTGGACTTCTTAAGCTTCAGTGATAAATATGTTTTCTAAATGTGCTGATGCTTTTATATTGAATGTGTATATATTTCTTTTACATCATATTTAAATATTATGTGATTATTTGGTATTTTGTATTTGCCTTTTAGTCAGAATACTCACAAACTCAAATTTTTCATTATAATTGCTAATGTTTCTCCTGCCAGCCTGAGTTCTGGAGGTAATTTTCAAGATTTAGGTCTTGCATACTCTTTTTTTTCCCTTTTTTTTAATAACTTTTTTTTGCCGCTTCTTTATGGTGCCTAAGAAGTTAGGCCCATGTATCCATAGTGAATATCCCCATATAAGTAATTTTCCACTGGAACTGTTGTAAACAAAGGGGAAGACAGGAAGTAGCTTCTGTTTTTCCCTCTTGTCCTGCCACCCCCTTCTCCCCTCTCTGGTCCAGTTGTCACATTAGGCTTTATAATCTCATTCACTACCATCTCTCCCTCTGTCTCCCCCCGCCCCCCCC